AAAAAAAAAAATACTTATTACATAAATTTAATTTACTAAAACAATAACAAAATTCATTTTTTATTATGTTTTATAAATTAAATCTATTCTTCTGTCTTTGAGTAATGCAAATTTGTCAATTATTATTTTTATTTATTACTCTACTAAACTATAGTACAAATTACAAGACACTAAACAGATAAGAACCGATATCTTTAGTTTGTGATAAAAGTATTATAGGAGGTATACACTTACACTAAACAACATTACGACAACCTACCAGTTCCTATTTCCATTAGTGGAAGTTACGTCACTTCGACAAATGACTAATGGATAATGTTGACAAACTCTGAGGCCCGAATCATTCTGCCTCATTTCATAATAAAATTCCGACTTCCCCCTCTACCATGATATATTTTATAATCGTCTGAGGCAAAATATTACTAGCTTCTCGGCACTCTTCGGCTTTCGTCGAGATCGTTCTATCGTTTCTATCGTTCTAACCTAACCTAACCTAACCTAACGAACATCTTTGTCGTGATTTTTGATAACAGTGACGAAGTATAAAGTACTATCATAATAATATTATACACGATAAAATACATTTTTTTTTGTCAGTMTAATAATATTATATAATAACATTAATAACAAAAAGATWTTGTATTTTAAAATGTATAATGTCGATTGGAAATAACAATAATTATAGAATATGTCCCTCCTTTTTCTTCATAATACTTAGGTGAGGCTGAGCCTCACTTGCCTCCCTTGAGGAGCCGCCACTGGTAAACATGACAATGCCAATATATATTATAGGTATACACATATATAGCGAAAAATAAAAATGTTAACATCTAAATTCATACAAAAAATGTTTTTATTAATTAATGATCTTTTTATTATAAGTTATCGTTTGAAAATCAAAATTTAATAGTGCTTCAACGGTTTTGCCAATAAATATGATGGTGAACAAAATTAAAATGTTATACCTAGGTAAATTTAAAAAAAAACAAATCTAAATGTTAAACAAAAAAAGTTAATATTTTTTAAAATAATTTGTACCCACAAATTTAACGGTACAATTACTCGGTAAATTACCAAAAAGTTTTTTTATGGAAAATCCACATCACTAATAGTTCCCGGTAAGGTTACCGTTCAAATCATTGATACATTATACAGTAATAACGCCGAATAAAAGTAAAGAAAAATTAAGTAGAAACTCCGAAATATGTATTCTAAAGCGATTAGTATTCCATTTTTTTAAACCTTGTTAGATAAGAACTTTTTGACATACTCTGAGAGGTTTTTTAAATTGTCTAATKGTTATAAATGTAGGGAAAATTAGCATATTAAATAAAATTATAGATCTAAATGTACTACATTTTCTTTTTCAACTTAATTATATTACTATAAATAATAAAATCTAAAAATTAATTAATTATACTAAGCTGTACCTAATAGTTAATAATTATAAATTGTATTCATGTTCAACAGAATTTTTGATCTACCTAGGTAGATGTCGATGTTCTATAATAATTACAATGTTTCATGTTAGAAAGTTGGAAGCAATGAGAAAGTATTATTCTGAAAAGGATTCATCTAACAATAATAAAAATTAATAATGAAGAACGAAAAACTCTAATTAAATGAATTATTTTTTAATCTAAAAATTAGAATCTTTTTATACTAAACAATTATTAATTTTAATTTTATTAATTTTTATACCAACCTATATGCATTGAATTGTTAATATAACTTTGTAAAGTTATAATCTATACAAGTTACTAGATGCCTTAGAACTTGAACTATAAAAAATGTTGTACAAGGAGTAAAATATTTGAACTCCAGCCTTAAAATTGTTCTCCTGGACAATTTCATATAAACGATTTAGAACATTTTCATTTTAAACCCACGAGTTGCAGTCAATTTAATTATTGTTTTATGAAGTATAGAATAAGTAAATTTGTTCAAAAAAAAAAATGGCATAAAATTCAACCCCCCTCCCCCATATCTGGGGTAAATCCATATTTTTTCCAAAAAAAGTTAAAGTTAAATTAAACACACACGCATATATATATATACACACATAGAAATATTATTGTTGATTTAACTTTTTACAATTTTGTTGACAGTGTAGTTGTTAATTATACAAATTTTGTAGTTTAATTAACACCAACAGGAGTATATTTAAACCATATGGTTTGACTATAATTAATATTAAAATAACAATGTACATATTATTATTTCAACTTATTAGTTATTAATATAGTTAATTTGAATATAATCTTGTTAAAATAAAACCTTTATATATTGGAAATAACACGAAATGTAATTACCTTAGCAATTATAATTTTTTTATTTTAAAACAGCTAATAAAACGTTGTTTTTAACTGCGATTTGATTTTAAATTGGCAATGCGCTGTTGAGTGTTGTTATTTCAACATTAATAGTGTTGTTTTAATCAGGAACTGATGTTATCAATGATTGTTTAATTATTGTGTTAATACCTATTTTTAGTAGAAAACCACAAAATCGGTACTAATATGTATACAAACTCTATGTGTCTATGTAATAGGTATTTGCCTATAATTATTAACATAATTATGTTGTACAATGTTTATAAAATAAAACTTACCTTATACCTACCTATATTATAATGTTATTGGAATTTTATTTAAACTATATACCTAGTCTGCAATACCATAATGCATCAAAAATAATTATATTTAAATAACATTACCTATTAAAATACCTACCTAGATAAAAAATAATGGTATGGACATAGGAAATTACATTGTGTATCAAGATGACAAGATGAATAAATTTAAACTTACCTAGCTAAAATGCAAATTGGCAAAAAGTACCTAGGTATAATAATAATATAGCATATTAAAATATATGGGTAGAATTATAAAAATATTCTCTTAAATACCATGGTTTTGTTTAGTTTTCTCATCTGGATAGGTAGGTAAGTAGTTAAAACAACCCAGTGGTAGCGAGATCGAATCCGTTATGATGATCGATGGTCGCAATTATAAAACCCCATGTATTTTGCATTTTTATTACAATTTATTTTCAAAATCAATTAATTAGACATTTACATAACATTAGGTTGGTGTTGTTTTAAAATGTTTGGCCATTTGTTAAAATAAAACATAGAACACCCAATACAACAACAAGCTTGTAGTTAATATAAAATGAGTTGGTGTAGATTTGACAACTAATATGATAGTAAATCCAACTACATAATATGCAATTTAATATAACCAATAATTTGTTGTTATTTTAACGTAATTTGGAACTTAAGAGGACCAATATAGCGGGATAATTTGAGAATTACAATGTTATCTTGACACCAAACCGACCTTAGTCGGAATATAACGTGCAAGTGTGTATGAGATTAACTCAAATTGGTGTTGAATCTACAAAAGTTTTCTATGTGTGTATTTATATATATATATATGTATAAATCGTAATTAAGTTTCAAATAAATTTGTAGAACCGTAAGTTTTTCTATGTTTATCAGTTGAAAATATTTAATTTCGTAAAAATTACAGGATTCATACTTCCTAAAAACTTAACCAGTCAACCATACTGTATTCACTTTACATTATTTATAGTATAGTTGTAGTGACATATTTTTCTAGTATAGGTAGCGTTATAACAATATTTTAATWCAGTTTAAATATAATAGTATAATAAAATTAATAAGTCTAATATAGGTWTATTTTATTATTGCATTTAAAGTGGCTGCGGTGGAAAGAGTGTCTCATATTGATGCCGTTTTCATCGATGGTATAATATAACATTATTCACGGCGAAGATGTGTAAGTTTAGCCTTTCGACGGACCAATATATTTAGTGCTGTCACAATAATGCAAGTTATACTTAATCAGTGGTGTAGTTATGTTTTTGTTTTGTGAGGGGATCTATTCCCACTACCACCACACATAACTACGCCACACTGTACATAATCTATATGATATATGTATATACAATGAAACCTCTCTAACGAACAACTCTACTTAGCGAAATCTACTCCCCCTTTAAATAGAATACGAAACTTCAGCTGCCTAGACTAACCAGTATTTGAGGTTTCACTGTATTTATAAAAATTAATCTAATATATTATTATACATAATTCGCAGCGATCGACTCTTGCAGTGTGTTTGTAGTTTCTCTGCTCTCCTATAGGTACTTCCGGTCGCCAGCGGTGGTTGTCGTGATGTTATTAAGCCGCGATGTACGTCAAGTGAAAAATACTGCACATGATGGTGATTATGTTCCCAATAGCCATGAACATGTGTATCTTTCGGAAAATCCGATGCATGATCATGTAATGCGGGCACTCAGTTAGTCGGCCCAGATCGCAGCGGCCCACTTCCTTGCCCAAGCCCACTGACTTCTCGATGGCTGTCTTAGTGGCGATAAGTCTCAACACCGTTGGCACCACGTACAGTCTGATCGTCAGTTCCAACAGAAAGCACGTACTCAATGCGAAAAACTGTAGTGCAGGGAAATACGTGAAAACGCCATTATTATTATTATTGTTCTAATTAATTATTCTAAGTATGTGACAGATGAAAAGACCTTTGATATACCTTTTTTTAACTCCATTAATTGTGAGCCACAGTTTATTTTTAAGCACGTGTAGTATTATTTGGGATATTTTCCCAAAATACAAGTCWAATATTATATCCGATCACAATTATAGGTAACTAATAACTATTATACTTATACTCGTACATTTAAGCTGGGGTGGACTGGCTATGTTTTGCCTGGGGTGCAAAATAAATTAAGGGCCTGTATTTTTTTTTCAAAGAGTCCAGATAATCAAATAAAAAAATAAATTATGAATAACATTTTATTTTTATTTTATAAAGAGCAGTTATTTTATTTTTATTGCGTAAACACGAGTGATATACGATGTAATATTTTAAATATTATAATAACAACAGTATTGTCAATTTCAATTATAATTTATCTTTATATCCTACATTACCTACAATAAGTGTTAAATTAAAAAGGATCCGACAGTGGTTATCGGTAGATTGGATCATACATACGAATGGGGAACCGGGGTACTACATGGTGTATAGTACTCTGGCCCAGTCCACCCATGCATTTATGTCCGTTTATGTGATTGTGAATATTTTACTTRTAACACGATTGTAAACGAATTTTGCTTATCAATGAATTTATTTGTTTTAGCCGAAAACCGATCGATTTTTTAATGTTTTAATTAGGCTACATTGCCAAATTTATAATTTCAAAATATATTTCATTTTATATATTAATAATACAATGTTTCATTATAACTACGTTACGGGATAAAATAAAATGATACAAAATAATAGGTTATGTTTAAAATATTGATTGATTAAAAAACAATTTGATATAAATACTAATTAAACTATAAAATAATGTTGAATAACTACTAATAATTAGTATTAAGCAAGTAAATAAAACAAAATTAAAATAGTTTTTGAAATTTTTTTTTATTTAATTTTTTTCCTTGGTAAGAATTTCAATTTTTTTGTAAATATAAAATTAGATTCTTATGGATTTTATAAATATTGTAACTTTTTATGTTGATTAATTTTAGATTTATCTTTTTTGGCCATAGGATTATGTACGAGTAGGTACATCATTTTTAATAGAATTTTTTATTGTTAAAGTTTGTTCCTGTGTTTGTTTTAAAACTGAAATCACTAGGTGTGTTGGTGGATGGAGGTAATAAAATTGAAATCCTGTGAAAGCTGTCTGTCTCATTAGTAGTTTTAAAAAATAATTATAAAACTTAGAAATATTATATTTACTGGTAAAATTTCAGAATTGAGAAAGAATTTATATAAATAATATAAAATCTTTTTATTATATAAATATGTTGACTAGGTATCACTGAATCTGGCAATGCCATCGCCACACGGAAAAAGCAGGCAAAAAGACTCACAATCGTGATGCAGGAAAAGATCTGTTCGCAATCGTTTATCACTCGTATGTTACGCGCACGTTTTCAGTTTACATACGCCTTTTAGTATATTGAAGCCGTTGAGGGAAATACATCATCGTCGGAGTGGCGCGTATGAATTTAGCTAATGTGATTGAAAATAGGCGTATGATATGCGTCCATATGAAACAGGCTGTCAATATTGTTAAACAAAAGAAGAATACTACAAATCTACAAGAACAATTTTATATTTTTGCTAAATTAATAATCACGAGACTTAGGTATTTAGGTATATTAAAAAACTATAGGAACTTTCTAAGGAAATTATTTTCAGTTATTGAGTTACGGCCTCGTTATAACGGGTGCAGTCGATTTGGATAAAAATTGACCCAAAACAATAGCAATATGTATTACTATAACAAATATTATTTATTAATAATACGTAAAGAAACATGGCTGGATGTGTATAATTTATCTGCCAACAATTTTAATTTTAATTATGGGATTTATGAAAAACATAAAATAATTAAAATTGAATGTATATTTACAAAAAAATAAAAATAAATAAATAATACAAAAATCTAGATCTAGCACTATAAAACTAAATTTCTATAATATTTAAACAATTGCAGTATAAAKTATTATACTTGAAACTCCAGTTATACATACATAGCACTTCTTTATACTTTAAGTACTCTACTATTTTAATCTATATTCTGTATAATAATTAGCAATTAATAACCAATCCCTGGATTTATGAATAATGAATAATGGGAAATGAAAATTAATATGAACTTTATCAACAGTTGACTAAACACCCYTTATCAAGCAGATAGAGATAAACTACTATACCGAGGTTATATGTATTTTTCAGTATTACTATTATTATTATATTTATGAATTGAGTATACCTGCGGAAACGTATGTTGGTCCCACACATTYGTGGTGACATGTATTTTTCCGAACTGTACCAGGGTGATAGCGCTAAGTACACTGTTGATCGAAAAATATTTTGGAAATAGGATCTTTTGGACATCGCCAAAAGCGTGCCTGGACAAGTTGAAATACAAGCTCAGTCCTGTGGAAACGAAAACATATTAATAAATATTTTACTACGACTCTCCAAGTATATGTATATATATATATATATATATATATATATTTATATATATATATATAGAGAGAGAGTAGGTACTCATATGTCTATGGACTATCTATATATTAAAATACTTGCAACTTGCGATCTATTTTATTTACCGGAAACGATTGTCATCCAAAATTGAGAACCTAAATGCATACTAAACGATGCCAGATAGATAAAGTGTACGATATACCGTGGTTTCACTTTTACACCATTAAAATTGGCATTCGACGTTGTCTCCAGGTCACTGGGTAGCATCGACACGGTAACCAAAACGACGGCCAAGGCCATTATGATGTGGGCTGACTGTGCTAAGGATAACACTCTGAGGGATAAAAAACAAATTATTATTTATTATTAACCATGGCATAATAATATGTAAAATGTAAATGATTATAATGTGGTGTACAAGATTTTTTATCGCAAATATATGTTTACATTTTACATACAAAAAATAATTAATTATTGATTAAGATATTATTAACTATTATAGCCATAACGTCATAATATATTATAATGTATTTTATTTTTTTTTTCGCTTGCCATTATGCAAAATCTTGCTTATTGAACTGACTTAACGTAAAATTACACTAGGAACGACGTGTGTTTAAGTTCTATTTACGATCATTATTTAAGTACTTAGATATCTGTTTATTTTTTATCAATATTATCATATACGGGTAGGTATAACACTAGGTACCTACACTAAAATATTTTTAGGAGACTTATTWAAGTCAACCTTCTCGTGATATTTGCTGGTTAACACKATGGTATAAAATCGATATTGATTATACACCAAACGTGTTATTTTTCTAAAAATGTGGTTTACTCAAACAGTACCTATATTAATTTGTACCCAAACGTGTTACGATCCTATCCATATTTTTTTAACGAGATAGTTTGCGTTTCAATTTAACATACCAGCTATACATGTAATATTGTAATAYGCTACATAAAGTTTTTAAGTCAATTTTTTTTATAAATCGTAAAAAAGTCTTAAAGAATATAGGTATATAAACAACTTTATTTCTATAATTATATAAATATATCGAGCTACTCATTCTATGAGTTGCCTTACGACACAGTTTATCGATCAATACAATTGTACATAGTTTATGGAATAAAATAAAGTGTAGATGTATAAAGATAAAATAAAATAAAAAAAAGATAATAATCAAATTAATAGATAAACAAAGAGATAATACAAAATTATCACTATATTGTAGTAGTTATTAGTTACGATAAGGCACTGAAGAGGTCTTTACAGGGCGCTAGTTACGAGCTTAAATAATAATTGATTATATGCAATGTGTTTTGCAAATTGCAATAAGGACAGATATATTTTTTTGAGATCACTTCGTTGCAAACCGTGGTTCTTGAAGAAGTCCTGCAGAAATTTCGATGCGATTCCGCGTGCGTCGAATAGAATAGATTTTTTTTTGGAATAATTGAATAATTTGAAGCAAATTATACATATAATATTATTAGTTAAATATATAAAAATGTATACCTCGAAAGTGGGTTAATTTCACTTCAAATCTCACATCCACTCTCGTGGTGATGCTTTAAAATGTACCACAGTTCGCAAACACTTTTTAAAAATAACTATTTTTGGAATTGAATAAATCACTTTTTAAGGGAACTATAGAGGCTTAACATTTGTAGTTTGTACCTGACATGCTTTATAATTAAAACAGTGCTTAGAAGTGTGTCTAAGTTTTTAAAATTATTGAAATAATGTAATTACATCATAYTGTAAAGGGTATTTTACAGTTTAATATTTATTCAAAATTAAATGTGGGAATTATCTTTTTAATGGTATTATCATAACAATTGAAAGCTTCTATTTTTGTAACACTAATTTTTACCTCATTGTATAAATTACAAAATTGTATAATTATTTTAATTTTATAATATATTTATATATAATGGTAGTTATGTGACACAAATTAGTAAACAAGTTATTTATACAAATTATAATTTAAAGTTAACATATTGTTTGGTCACATGGCTAATTGTCTTCTGAGTCATTTGATGTAATATTTGAGTTTAATTAAAATACCTTATCTAACCTACCTTAATTACATATATTTTAAATGTTGAATAATATATAAAATTCTAAACAGTCTTCGATTGAAAAAAAACATAATAGAAACAGGCAGACAGATTCTATCACTACTCTATCCTAACATCATAAATAAGTTTCCATACGGTATAATATTATCTATGCATATAAATTAATGTTTCTTTTTATTAATTTATTAATTATGATTTTCAGTAATGTATTTCATTTTGCCATTTAGGTTAATATAGCTATTCTATACCTATAAATGTATAATTGAATAACAGCTATTATATTAAATAGAGGCAAACTGTATAAATTGATTGGAGTTTATGTAAAAAAAAACATACCTAAGGTTTGATCAAAACCACAAAGGTTTTTTTATTAAAAAAATTAAATTAAATTATGTATCATACAAAGTCCGTTTTCTATGATCAGGCCTACGTTTTAAAACACCAGAATAAAAATCACCGAATAAAAATCGAAGCCTAATTAGTTATTATTATCCGTTATACTATTACTAATTTAGGTTTAATTTATCCCCCCACACAACAATGAGTATAGGATCCAACACCCTGCAGCGATAGCGATGATGGTTGCGTTTTAGAGCCCATACAAAATTATTTTACTGCCATCGCTGCAGTGTGTGGTGGCCTTAGTATTTCATATTTTTATATGTATTATTAATTATTACATTATAATAATTTGATGCTCACTTGTAGATCAGCGATACATTCAGACTTCTGAATATCAGCGCACACTTGTTGAGTGTGATCCTAGTRACGGCGGTCTGCGCATTACCGGTTGATGGTACTACAGCAGTCTTCGTGGTTTGCCATTCCTCGTCCATGGACTCATGAGTGGTTGCGTCGGTCACGGGTATCTTGAAAAAGTGATGTGGATGACGACCGTATCTGTGTTTTGGCGTTTGACTAACCGTTTTACTCATTTTTGCCGTAATCGTAAATATTAAATTGTACAGGGGTTGATGGCGAGAGAGACAAATGTAGCGTGAAAAAGAAAGAGAGGAAGAGAGACTTAGAAACGTAAAGAATAAGATCTATGTTGTCTTCGGATAATCGTTTTCGGAGAACGGTGATGCAGTAGGTAACCTGGATATAAATGAGTAGACAGTGTTTGCGTACGTGCGTATCAAACGTGGACGTTGTTGGAAGTGAAAACTGGCAGTGAAAAAGATCATATACAACACATTAACCAGTCTGTAGTGGTACGGTGGGGGTGGCGGTGGCGAATTGGCCTACGTGACTAACGCACAGGCGACGTTTACACCGAAACACTATTTTGCTCATTATTGTCAACAATAATATAATCGATCATTATATAGGTACATTATATTGAAGTGGATTCCGAGCGCCCGGCGCCCTCTGAGAACGCGTTTCTGGCCAATGTAGACGCTCTGTTGGACATTTTTTTTTTGTGTGGGCTTGGTATTGTATAGCCGATATATCAAAACAGCATCAATACAATTACATAGTACCAACTTCCATCGATTTTATTAAATAATATTATACGTATATGCGATACCTAACTWGATTCGATCATTGTTTTATTTTATTATTCTGACAGTGGCGCCGAACCCGATGTGCTGGTGGGGTGACCGACCTACTCCTAAAAGTGAGTGGGTGGGTCGTAGATGGTTAGTGTAGCCGTGGCCGGGGGTAGGATATGATTGTGATGTATAAAAATAATTCTTATAAAGATAAATAAAATATAAATATTCCCGAATATAAATACTTATGCGAATACGCGATTTAACCGGGTGTCACTGGGTGGGGTACTGGGGTTAGTATTAATTTTTGTACTTTGCCTGAACTTTAAAAATTTATTTCGGTGCTACTGATTATTCCCATATTATAACATAAAAATAATATAATTGTACATACTATTTTACGGTAGGTTAAACGCTGCTAGCCTAGACGTACAGATGATAATGGGTGCGTAATGATTTTAAATTGTTTTTTCCTGAACAAGATTAGTTATAAAGTTTTGGAATATATTAATATTCTGAATGAAACGAACATACAATATTACTACAATATAGTTTCCTATGTTTATATTTTATAATTTTATTATTAGGTATTATAATTTAATATCATTGCATACATAAGTATGGGTGGMAAATAATATTTGTAAAATTGCGATTAGATACGTCAAAAAGATCATTGTACTTTTAATTTGTTGCGTTGCCGAGTGATCTTTTTTTTAGACGGTAACCTGTATTTTTATAAACCCTCGTCAGTGGATCATAAGTATGGGAGAAAATACCAACGGACAGCCGTCGAACATTGAACCGTTGATTCAAATCARACCGCGGTCGAGTAGGTAGTGGGGCTCTGCGTTAACGCMCCTCCAAACCCTCTGACAACGTAGTGACCAGTCTTAATAGGTTRCACTGTACGATCTATCAGCCCTACGATTTGATCSCAGCAATGAATGCGAGAAACCCGTGATTCTAATGTTATAGTTACGATGCAGCCACAGGTAGTGTATTTAATAGAGAGGGGGGGGGGAGGATATAAAATGTTAAAAGTTTGAATCCACATCCTAAATTGTTATAAATTTAACTTATAAACATTATTAACTAAAAATATGCTTGAAAAATTGTAGTAACAATAATATACAAGTTCATAATATATTATAATATTAGAGTTTTAATTTTCTATTTTTCCTATAATAAGCTTGGTTTAGCGTGCGTTACTTCTAAAACAGAATAGACAATGACTCAAGATTTCGTTTCAAAAGTAAAAAGTCAAACGATTACAGATATTCTATGACACAGTTTTTAGCCAGAAATTCAGAAACTTCGCTTTTATTGGTGAAAGACAAGTATAAAAGACTCGATATCCGCGGTCGTGGTCTCACACGTTGCTAAGTGAGCTTTTTCTAAAATAATTACTTACTAACATATTATGTTATTACCTGAATCCTATATAGTAAAATAATATAGTAATTATGGATAATACTCCCAATGTACAAATCCATTAATTCTCAAACAGTTTCAGTTTTTGACAAAATAAATATAAATTCCTTAATATTGTCCATATGAGTACTTAGAATTGTGTCAAAATAGGTTAGTAATATGATGGTATTTTTTTTTCACAAAAGTAATTTATAAAATTGGAGTAGTATAAAAGAACATAGGTTACAAAAATTATAAATTTTAAAAATGTGTTGATTAGTTGTGCTATTAAGAAGACAGGTAATAACTATTAATTATTAAAATTATAATTTTTGTACCAATATGGCTAAATTTGTGGTACATACTATTATAATATTGCATAAAATAATATATTTAGGATAGTCTGTGTCAAATTTTTCAGAAAGTTCATTAGGTATTGTTCATTATTTTTGCAATTATTGAAGTCATTCTTCGTATCAATAGATGTATTCCAAAACTACAAAATGGGTTTTTATTAAAGGGTTTTGTTATAGTAAAATGTGTAAATGTCCAGTATACACGTTATTGACAGGATGAACGCAGGGGGGGGAGGGGTTTGAACACCCCCCGAAATAGTAGGTACAAAAAATAAATTATCCGACCAACAAATGTATTAGTGTATTACTAATAACATTTCAAAAAAATTAAAATAAATTATTAGTGATTAAAAAGTTTCCCTTTTCCCGTGGTTTGTAAATTAATGGATACAGTAAAATCACCAATAAAATGTATGATAATGCAGTTTCGAAGTGAGTATGACAGTATGTTATAACTTATTAATAACTGATCGACATCGAAGGTCGCCAATCCGATGATGTACGTAATGTAGACGGACAACTAGTGTAATTGCCGTCTACCGGAAATTCCTACAACTAACCTACACTAACCTACAAATTTAAATAATTAGTAATTAATTATTATCTATGATATTATATTATCATGTAATATGTATATTATATATGTATTATGTATTTATGTATATATAAAATAAAATATAGAAAAGTGTAATACAGACATACAGTATGAATAATATGATATTTATGATATTTAT